ACAGAAAAATTGATAGCCTAAAAACCTTTTCTATGAAAAATTACTTATTGATGTAGAAGTTTATCACTTACCAACCAACCAACCAACCAACCAACCAACCAACCAACAAACATCTATTTTTATATATTAGATATGCATTTATTCTGAGGAACATAAAAAAAACATATTTCCAAAAGANTGTTTAGAATGTAATGGACAACATTTTCAGCATTTATTGTGAAAATGTGATATTTTGTTTACAATTTTGTTATTTTGAATAATCATATTCTGTTATTGTCTGTACTTTCATATGGTCGGTCGATAGCCAAGCGGTTCGGCATGGGTGCTTTGTTCACTCACTCGAATTGACTGCCGTGTTGGTCGGTGGTTCAAGCCCTAGTCTGAACGATCGATCTTCACTTGCTACCGTCCAACCCGTGTTAGGAATCACACGTTAAAAGGTAAGATCTCGTTAATCCTTAGCTCGCACAAGTTTCGACTTCTGAGGGTTGTCGTTCGTAGGGGTGCGACAGCTGGTTAACGGAAAAACAGATTTTAAACAGAATTTTTTTTAAACCGAGGCTTTGGCTAAATCTTGGTGGCACTCTAGTACCAGCTCTGAGGTAACACGTTGTCTGTTCAAGGCTAATAGGGCTTGTATGCTATCAGTGCAGTTATGTTTTTGCCAGAAATTCCTTTCCTGATTATTTCTTTCGTGGCGATTGAGATACCAGCCAATTCTGTTTGGACCACGCTGATATATTTTCCCATTTCCCACTGGAAAGTGTGGGATATTTCATTTCATCAGAATTTTAAGAAAATTTAGTATCTCAAATTTCATATATTGATCTTTTCACCTATTCAGTCTCCTCTTCACATCAACCTCACGGTCTTAACGCCTTCAAAGTGTTATTGAGCCTACTTTAGGAGTATGCATTTTTCAGTCAGAGTCCTCGAACTACTCCAGCAACTCTTTTGTTTCTGTTTTGTTTCGAAAAATGGTTTGAGTTATTACCGGGCATTTTTGACGCGATACGAGCATATCAATTTTTCATTTAAATATAATTTAGGTTGTGAACAGAGAGCTGAAAGAAACCAGTTCACGTTTGGAATATCTCTTTAATAATATATCGACGTTTCAATCTATAGCTCGGTACCATATTATAATGATATTATTCAGTCGTGTATTTCATTATGCAGTTGTAGCCGCCATATACAGGGGCTCATTGAATTCCGTTGAGAATTTCAAATAATTCTTCATCAAAACTTACGAATCAAATAAAAACTACATAGGCACTACATGTTTCTTTGAGCAGTGGCTTTCGTTCACAAAACATTGCACTATTCCTAAAATGAGTTCCACAAGGATGGCTTCTCGGACCCTCACAATTGTGCATATACACCTACAATTTCTCATGTTTATTTCCATACGATGAAAAGATGAAGACTCATCCGTTGATAAATATTCTTCTGATAAAGTTGAATTTCATAGACTGGGAGGGTCTCTTTCTTTCATGTTCTTCAAATCTTATTCAAGTGAAAGGATTCGGTGTGTCGTAGAAAATAGAACACGATATAACTCAAGGTTCAGTTTTAGGGGTATTAATGCCTTACTACATAGACAATTGGATACTATTATAATGGATTGTAAAGTGTATTTGTGATTTACTGATATCACCGAAATTAGGATTGCAAAACGTATAAGGGAAAACACTATAGGGCTTTACCCTCGAGCATATTCAATGGTTCTGGATAAAGTGGAAGCCATAGTCTTGGACTCATATGACATTATGAAGAAGACAGAAACACCATAATAGTGAAAAATTAATAAAAAGGATGAGTAACTTCCAGAGTGAGTGTGAGCAAGTGTAGATTAATTTCATGTTATATTGCATAATAGCAGTTGTCAATGCATGATCGCTGTCTTCCAAAAAAAGAGATGAATTTTGAAGTCTATAAAACTATAATTGTTTTTGTAAAACAACACTACTCTGAGTAGACGTGAACATGCACATTACAATAAATACCCTTTTGGGTTAACGTATTAATATTTTTTTATAGTCGTCTATGTAAAAGAATATATGATCTATTCAGTTGTACTTGTGTATTAAAACAAAGGGGATTGTTATGCAATTCTTCGTCTATTTGTAAATCTTCTAGAAAATCCAACCTATTGATTTTTTTTTTCTAGAATGTGTTAATTACGATTGGAGCTGGAATTATGTTGATTGAAAATTGTATGTTCACAAAAAGCTGATTTGTCTGGTTTATTATTCACACGAAATACGACTTCATTCCTGATTTATGAATTTGTCATCCAGCCTGGCATCACTGATGAGACCTATGGTAGATCTGGTGTTAGATCACGAATATTATTTATTTCGTTTTTAGGTTTCAACCATTGAAAATTATGAAAAAATATGATCGATAAAGAGAAATGGACTGATGTTATTTTCGTCCTGTAGGTGGATTTATTTTTTCTGATTTGAAGCTTATACGAAATTACTGAGAAATTTTGAATTAAACGAAATTTAATATCGGCAAAAGCCGATACTGAAGTTCATTTGTCTTGTATTTTCGAAACTAAGAACTTTTGAACCTTCACTATTGGTTTCTGGAATAGATAACTGCTTTCAGGAATGTCATATTAGTTGTGAATTAGGAAAGATGAATTCGTTCACAACTTGAGGTCAACACCAGCTCATTTCTTGATCAACAACTTTTTTATTACATATTGATTGGCCGCGGTGGTAGTGCGCCCGACTCACAATCGGAAGGCTGTGGGTTCGATTCCCGCCTCGACCAGATATTTTTCTCGAGAGAATTCATCTGGTTGAAGCTGGATGATTCTGCAACCACCCTGTTGGGAATCACACGTTAAAAGGTAAGACCTCGTTAGTCCTTAGCTCGCACAAGTTTTTCAATTTCTGAGAGTTGTCGTTCGTATGGGGGCTACAGCTGATTACCGGAAAAACATATTTTAAACAGATTTTAAACAGATTCAAACAGATATTGAATACTGCGAGAGAAAAAATAAGGATTGTACATGGAAGTTGAAATGTTTCTAAAACTCTTGGAAGTTGTACGACGTGGGAAAAACCCACTGAAAATATTGGAAGATTGTGAGAATTCCTTCTATTCAACTGATGATCAGGGCCGTTTTGTAAACAGATCAATATGATAGAATTTTTCACCTGCCAGATGATCAAGAAAGTTTCATACAAGTGCGGCTGAACAGCACTATGCATAGTTTGTGGTACCTCTCGCTCAAGACTACTGCGACGCGATTGGCTTCCACGATACCACGTGACCTAGACCACCCATGCGGACTCATTAGATATGTTTACCCACTATACTAATCAGGGTGCATTCTTCTGTATCATAATTTATTTTACCTGTATAGCTCCATACAATCGCTGTTACATAATCTGCTCTTCTACGAAATGACTACCTGTAAGAGTTTCTACCAAATACAAAACAAATAGCTGTTTACATTTATTACTAAATTGGAATTTTGATTTTCATTATTATTCTTTAATATAAAATGTAACTTCATTCAGTAGCAAAATAAATTTAAAGCCATCTCCCAATTCGGTTGTAATAGAAGTCCACGTCAACCGTCAACGTTTGAAGCCTTGGTCTGACTTTCTCATTCTTTAATTCCTTGAATATCTAACTTGAAGATATAAAAGTCTCAAAATGCCTCAAAAACATTTGTTCAATGAGAAATTACCCTTTTAAAAAAAATCCTCTCATGGACAATTACAACATTTTTCGTAGTTCCTCAAAAAACTACCCAAACATGGACGTAATATAGCCTCGCAACTAATTAGCAGACAAAATTGTTGTTAAATTGCGAAGTTGGTAGGTAACTGAATTCAATTTGTTCATTGAGTTTCCCCAGAAGGAAAGCTCATCCAAATATATACCGAGAAATCAAGCGGACTCGTCCACTACCTGTAAATCATCAAAATCCATATCATCGGCATCTTTTTGTCTGTTGTAAAAGCGAATGCATTTGGTTTTGTCTGTATTTAAATGAAGTTATCTCTAAACCGATGTCATAGACACTTCCGACGTAGATATGCTTCATCCCTGTTTGAGACAAAAACCGATGTGTCGTCGGCACGAACGATTATTGAGTCGTTATAAGTATTCACAATGTTAGTGATATAGAGCAAGAATAAACAAGGACCCAGGAAGGAACCCTGTGGAACTCCAATGTCATAATATTATCGGCATGATGATCGACTATTTCCAATGTCCACATAACCACAACGTCTGTTCAAATAACTTTTTATCCATTCCAGGAAGACACCAAGAATCCAGTACCGAAATAATTTATCAAATTTCAAAGTTGATGGAGCTCCAAGTCCGTCGACACCCTCTGTAAAAATTATATGATCATATTCTGATAGTACAGTTAGAGTTCCAAAGGCAAAATGTAAACATATTTCCAATATTACTGCAAATGAAAAAGAAACAGACAAAACATTGACACGAATTTGAATAGCCCCGTATAAAAACAGGGTGACCACAGTAAGCACCTTTGTTGGACTAAAATTGGTAGGTTTTCTATGCATTTTTCGTTACGTAAATACACTACGAATCGTTTTGTGCAACTCACATCTTCCCATTTCCAGGAATCGACACATTGTTATATGATTCGCAAGAAGCGATCGCAGTGAACTTGACTGGATCGTGGCGAATGTCGCTATTTTCGTCCGGCGCAATTAGCCTACAACACATGAAACAATTTCCTCGCAGTCGACGAAAAAAGAGCCGCTAAAAGCCGGTTGAGGCGGTTGAAATATCGAGCACGTGTTATCCTTTGTTTGCAATAAACAATTTCGCCGTCCCCCGTCTCGGAAAATTCAAAATCGAACAACCGAACCATCTGCCAATGCCCTGGTGGGGTTCAAATTTCGCGGCCCGGCGCCACCAGTGCGCCTGCGCACCTGGCAGGCATCTTGCGCACATGGTCGACAGCGAGGAAACCGAAAATTTCAGTCAGTATCAAGCAGGCAGGCGGTTCGTATCTGCTTGACTCAAATAAACGACTATCGTTGTAGAATATTAATACACTAACTAGATATCATATATTTTTGTACCGTCAATCGTTTTTTGATAATATTACGTCGTTTTTATGACTTAATCTGCTCTCGAGGGTCTCTAGTGTTTATCAACGACAATCAAGTTGGTTCTGAACTGTGTTTTGTGAAATATGCCGGCTTCGAGTTTATTCGCTGAGATGGATCGGGGAAGCGCTCTGGGTGAAGAAAGAGCCCTCCAGCTCGCTTTAGAGCTGTCGATGCTCGGTTTTAGCGAGCCCCTGTCCAACGTGTCGGAACCCGACAGTCCCGGAGACATTGGCTCGTTCAACCCTCTGGCCAACGTCGGTCTCGAAGAGGTTCGCTCTAAAAAATCTCAGAATATGACCGAATGTGTTCCTGTTCCCAGTTCTGAACATGTGGCTGAGATCGTGGGTAGACAAGGTAAGACATTTATACGTTTTGTTGGTCGCATCGCTAGAGCTAGACTTTTCCCGATCTTCAACTTTTAAATGGTTGTTGGAGGTTATGTTATAGTACCCTGTTTATTTGGAAATGCGAATGCTGGCCGTCAAAGCATCTTCAGAATTGTTGAAAATATATCGGATGAAATTCTGTAAATAGTTTCAATGTGTGTGGGATTCTATATCATTTTTTGTATGTTTTTTCGTATCAAGTTTTTCCTTCACAAACGTGACTTGTGTTTTGCTACGCTGTTCTCACATGCATGAACTAGCGTTATCCACTAGCAAAACTAGTGCACATACATTGTATCTCTGTCTCTCTTTATTTCCTAATACATTAATGAAGAAAAGAAATATATTGAATGTGCAGTAGTTTTACTAGTGGAAAACGTAAAAATAAACTCAGTTATGATCGATATTATAGATGAGAGGTTATGAAAACTGTAAGTAAACGAAAATAATAGGATTGAAGTTGAATGAGACCGACAAATGATAAACAATTTTTTTTCAAGAAAAAAACGTTTATACTAAAGTAGATTCTCATGAAATATCATTCCCATCCGAGAAATCTGCTTCAAAACGCTCTTGAATATACCTAATTGCTGGCAATAAAAAAGATCTTTACTGAATTTGGCTGAATTTGGAACTCTCACAGCTTTTATGTATTTTTCATTTATTTCACGAATTAGGTGTGAAAATGTTTAACAGTTTTCTACTTAAGGTCGAAGAGACTCGAAAATATTCTCAAACAAAGGCCTTAACATGAGAATGATTGTTCCATGTAAGAGAAATTTTACTTCTTTTAATTCATATGTGAATTCATATATGAATTATATCTGATTGAATTCCATAAGGAATGCTTGGAGTACAAACTGAATAGAAAAAAGTGTTTTTTTGTATAATAAAAATCATAAAAAACTAGTTGGTTTCAAAGTATTTTTCTTTCGTGTTTCAATGTTTGAATGAAAGTAGTTGTTTCGAGAGGATTTTTTTCCCAGTTTGTTACTTCTCTGCATGAGAGAATATTTGTTTGAAATGGATTGCTTTGTTCCTTTCTTTGGAAGATTCCTTCATTTTTTTGTATGAAAATGGAGAAGAATCAAGCTGAAATCTTTCTTGACATTAAAGTCTTGATTGAAATGAGAATTAAAATGAATAATTATATTTCATTTGTCAACGTCAGGGATTCTCAAGTTGCCTGAATTTCCATTTCCTTAACATAACATTAAACGCATTCACAGTTTGTGTTATTTCAATGTTATCAACATGTTCTGTACAAAGTTTCTTATTGTTTTTGTTGATCTGGTGAAAATATAGAAATATCTAAGTATCATTATGGGTATTGACATTGAAGAAACTAAACGTTGAGGTTAATTGAATGAGCTATGTCAGTTAGTAATTAGATTCAATAAGTATTATTTGAATATTATTTTAAGATTGATTTTACAATCTGCTCTCAATGTAATCATTGGAGGAATACCACTATTAAAAAAATGTTCCTGAAGTCATGTAGAAAGTATATGAGACCTGTATGCAAAAATTATTCTGCAAACTCAATGAGGTACTGATTTGCCTTGGCCAATGTTTTACACTGTAAAAATACTGTAAAATTTATAGTATTTTTCCCAACGACTTGATTAAAGTGAATGCCTCCTGCATGTTCCAACTTATGGTTTCAATAGGAAATTAATCATTTGGATTGTTAGAAACAAATATGAACCAACTTATGTTTTTTTAAAAATGAGTATTTATCTAGTATCTTATCAAAAATTGTATGAATAACCGTTTTTTTCATTTATTTCGTTTTCTAGTATTTTTTATTTTCAGAAAGTATATCTCTATTCAACTAATTGTTGCCTTCAGCTTGAAATAGTCTATGAGCTTCTTGGAAATTTCAACTTCTGACTTTGGAACTTATATTTCTTGAAATCTTGCAGCTCTAAACTAGTACTCGAACAATCCGAGTCAGAAATATCCAAAATTAAAAACAAAACCTGATGAAACTAGATGCATAAGGTAAATTCCTCGGAACTAGCATTATTAGTTTAAGAATAATAAAGCATGTTTCTCAATTTTTGGCAACGATGTTTATGCAACGTGACGCGAATTTATTTACGTACTTTAATGTTTTATATTTCTTGTAAAAGGTTGCTCAAATGTCATTTATTGAGTAGATATATTCTTATAAAAATATATTTTTAACTTTTTCTCTATATCATCACAGTGCAAAAGAATATTTCCATATTAAACCCAAAATTCTTCTTACTGGAAAATTTGTAAGAAAATATAATATTCTGAAAAATCAAATATTATAATAAAATTTGAATATTTATGTATGATTAACGGAAAAACAGATTTTTTAAACAGACCTAAATGAGTTTTCGTCAACTTCAATTAATGTTGAAGCCTCCTGTCCAGGTAATCTGGAATTTTAAAGTGATTTCAATTCATAAAGTAGTATCTTACATATAATCAAATATTCTAGAAAGCTGCTCCAAAATTTCCTTATCAATTTACTCAAGCATATCTGCCGATAAGAGGTGCTGCCTGACACACTATAAACATACAGGAAATTCTATTTTGTAATCTTTGAACATTTAGTTAGATAATTTCAATGATTTTGTCGGCCATTTGGTGTATTTTCTAGAGTTTACCGGTGGGATGTAGTAAACGATATTTCCCGAGTGTACATCCCGATTTTCATCAAGTGCGATATGCAAGAAAGATAAATTCCAGTTTTGTCTAGTATTTTGTTCATGATGAAAAAATTGGTCTCAACTTTTTATGACATAAATGTTGAAAATAAATAATAATATTCAATACCTACTTGAATAATTGTTCTAGATTTCGAAAGAACAAAAATAGAATTTCAGTAGACAAGTAATTAGTGGAGAAATTCAAAATTGGAATTACAAAATTGAAGAAAATTGGGAAGCCGGAAACCTGTATGCCATTCAACAGACAGATACCTATACTTAGTCATTGATTGTTTCAATGGAGATTCAGAAATGGCACTAACTTTGAATATAAGATGTCTGTGTGTATTTGAAAAACGTTTTATATTTTGAATGGAAATATATTTGGTTCTCAAGACGTCATCGACAACCAAAATTCTTGTTGCGAAAATATCAAACAAAAACACTGTCTGAAAAACGTTTACTTTATTGGAAATAATGAGTTTCAAGAAAACTCTCGTTCAAAATAAGAAACAATTTTTGCAAAGTATGAAGAAAATTGTGAAGAGAAATCGAAAGGTTTGCAGATCATCAACATAATTTAGAAAAGTTCTGACAATACATTAGTTGAAAACATCTTTGATGCTCCAAATGATAAACAATTGATCAGCCTTTTATTGAAAGGCACGGAAATTGGAAATCAACAATGGTGGTAGACAGGCTAAACTCTTCAGATAATAGGAAAGCGATCGCTGATTATTTTTTTTCCAACTACCGAAGCAAAATTGTTTATCTGGTGCTAGTAAATGGATATAATTCAACAGAACGTCTGAAAAAGAAAACCACCATTTATTCCATAGGCGTGGCAGTAGCAATTATAAAAGCGAAAAAAAATATTAGTTTATATCTTCATCAAGGCAGTCTGAATTGACAACTGGCATCAAAATCCAAATATAATTTTCAAGTAACCTATAATGAGCGACTATTAACGCTGATGCATATTTTTTCAGTGGTGATACATTGGCGTAGAATTTTAACAATGTTTTTTTCAACCATAAGTAAACAAAGTTGACAAATTGTATATCCCACAAATGAATTATTAGCTACACTCTTTTGACCCTGGACTGAGTTTACGAAATCAATTTTACAAAATCGATATTTTTTTTACGTTTTTTTTAGATTCAGGAAGTTATCGTAACCACAGAGGAAATCATACAGTTTTGTGCTTGGTTACCACATATTTATTGTGATCCATGCCACCGACGTTCGGTTAATATTGACATCATTATTGGAAACATCTTATATTTTTCAATTAAGAAAATGTCGTAAGTACTTTATGATTGGCTAATGCTCTACATACGAGCAAGAATTATGTTCTTTGAAATATGTCTGTTATACAGTCGTGTTTGCCCAACATTTTTGCAATCCTCTACTCTCTCGGAACTAGTCACACAGCAAACGCGATTTGTTCAAGCAAGATCATAAAGAAAATTGCCAAGTCCTAGCGGTAAGAAGCAGACAAAACACTAACTGCTTTCGTTCATTCATCACTTGATTCTATTCACTTGTCAATAGGCAAGGAATAACACAGCATATCCACATAAAAATTAACATTGTGAGCGTAACAGCTCGGCGTGGTCAATCAATAAACTACCTGCCTTGTAGCGACTGGGTAATTCATAACTTCCTGCCCTGACTCATGTAAGTTCATCCTTTGAATATAAAAATTATTTGCGCCCACGCCGAGAACTAAAGACTGTCGAGCCGCATCCTGCAGATCGAATGTCGATCAATACGGGACACTGCTTGAAGAATCTAAAATTACACCCTTGTGGATTTTAAGGTTCTCCTGAATTCATCTCGAGTGACAGGGATGCCTGGGTACCCGTATCGGTCGAGGATCGAGGGTATTTAATAGTCCAGGAAAAATTTTCCGAAAAAATAACTCGGTTCAAGTTGGTCGAATGTACGGTAGACTAATTTTGTGAACTGTTTCAAACGAGATTGGATTTGAATTATGAATTATCAACTTATTTCACGGACGTAGTTGTGAGTATTTCGGAAAACGAAAATAATACATTTCAAATCAAGCTAGACAATGTTATACTGAGATGACACTCGATGAATAAGAGTCATTTTTGTAAAAACTATTTTTATTTGAAACGAGTCTGTGTGTGTTCGACTACATGATAAACAAATAATCCAAGAAACAAGGTACATTTTGTTTTCATTTCTAACTGGTGAACTAGCACTTCGCACCATCTCAATAAATGTTTTGATAAGTTACTAGCTGAGTTATATCAATTTCTTTATATTGTATTTGTGAAGCACGAAGTTGGGTGATACTAACACAGCCAGTGTTGTCAGGTCATTGACATGCTTAGCAGATCATTTTGTGTCAGAAAAACAGTATTTTGATAAAAAATAATTGAAAATATATTTTGTAAGTAAATACTACTTACATACATACTAATTTTCTCCATTCAATTATTATCTGGAAAGAATTATTATGGAAAGAAACTGGGTAAACATTAAAGCTATAGCTTGAGTCAGGTACTGCAAAAATAGTACCTGGCGCTTCTCTTGTGAAATTTTTTCTTCATCTGCAGTGAGATTGATTCGCAATATTTTGCAGTATAATTGCATAACGATTTTGTTGTGGTAGATTCGATGAATATTGCTGACTTCCCTTCAATTTTATTACATAAAAATAATGAAAAACAAATGCAAATAAAAAATCATTTCACCAAAAATGTGATCGTAAAATC